ACATTCGATTCATGCGTTTCTCTGCAGGTCCAGGGCGAAGATAATCTGGACGAGGTTCATGTCCAACGTCTGGTCTGACCTACGGAAGCTTGTTAATTGGAATAGATTGTTGAACCTACATGTTGATCTCGGCTACGAATTCGTCTGGCTTCTTCTTCAAAGATTGTTGCAGCTTGCTTCACAGATGTGTGCTTCTGATTTTCTTTCCCTTCTTTGGAGTTTGATTGGAAAAGCGTACGACTATCTGCAGAAGATGGCAAGGGAGGCTCTATTCCAAAATAGCATTCAGGTAGATCATCAATACGGTCTGTAAAGCAAAGTTCGAACTTAATTCTTCGAAGTAGATAATTGTGGAGTCATATGAATATAATTTTATGATCATGTTGATAAGATAAGAAGGTTTTTTTATGGCATAATGAAGTTATTTTGAAAACTTTCAACGAGTTCTTATCGGCTGACTGCGAATTTCCCAAACTCCTAAGAAATAAGTAGAGGAATCAATGTGACTCACATCAAGTTCACCCAAGCTCATTTAAGGACATGGTAAGGTCAGTGATAGTGCGTGTGCACTATAATCACGATTGACTATCAGTACCACAGCAAGGTTTAGGAATCAAAAAAATACATACTTGTTTTTTCCGATCGTAGTCGGTTTTCTTCCTCTGTCACCCAACTGAAGTCAATTTCACTTTGATCACATCGAAATTGTGATGTACCCATCGAAGTACGTGAACCGAAGGAAGATTGATCACTTAAAGGGAGCTGTTTTATTAATTTTATGTTTCAATGATACCGCTGATGTATGATCGGCTGAGCATAACTTGAGCTCTCATTGGATTTCATTTTGGTGTCTTCTTTTCTGGACATTTCAGGTTTATCATTCCTTTCAACTTTTACTACGATATTATGTACATTGGATTCCTTAAACTAACAATAATTAGAAGTAAAAACAATCCTGTCCAACTCTATTATCCTTTGATTCACTTTTTGGGGTACTCATATACAAAGGAGAGTGAATGTTTTGTATTGGACTATGAATTTCTGGAAAAAAATAGAAATTAGTTTCGAATATTTCCAACTGGTTTCATACGTGTCTTCTCATAACTTTTGTTGTTGTTTTTTTCTGATTCCGAAGAATTTGTGGTCGTTTTTTCATGACTACTAGTGAAGCTATTCCATTGTTCTACAGTTCTTCCATCGGATGATGAAGTGACAGGTGATGATGATGTGAAAGATCCGTGCGCTCGAGGAGCTCTCACACACGTACTGCTACTACTGAAAAAAAAGTTTTTTCTCTCTTTCTCTATCCTTCATAGAGAAACATACCTTACAGTACTTTTGTTAGTGGTTGTTTCTGCCTTTCGATTCGGATGAGCTTTTCTCCACTCTTCGCGCAACCTCATTTCAGCCATATCCAGTTGAGCTCTGTATAATGGATTCTTTACTTTCTCTTTTTAATTTTGATTAGTCAATATGACTATAATTTAATTTGAAATAACAGGATCATAAAGGTGAACAACGATAGGTGGGCCAGTTAATCATTCGAAAAGTAGGTTGAATGTATTCATGAAGTTAAATAGCATATTAACTTGACTATCTATTCAGTTGATTACTAACATGGATGACCAAAGGATTGAATTGCTTTTTAATGTAATTTCATTGACCATATATGGGATATGTGTGATTGAACTAGATAACGTCCTTGTGAATTATTAAAAGCCAACATGAATATTCGTCGTTTTCAATAAACAAGCCTCTACCTGGTAATGTTTTTCATATTCAATCAGCATTTATAAACCGAAAAGATCAAACCTTAACCCGTCCAGCTACTTCTTTCTATTTGAAAAGCTGTTTTATCACACTTTTATCAGTATCATCTATCAACTGTTTCAAATAGCAACATGGAAATCAAAAAGGCTACACTTGAGAGCGTCACTGTTCCTTCTCCTACTTGTGTCATTATAACTTCAATTGAGAAGAAGTTTGATAACGATTATCAGCCTTTCAACATTTATTTCCCCCATTTGATGATTTTTTTGTTTTCTCTTATCAATTTTGAACAGATTTGTAGTTTTGTTGAAAGATATCAAACAATGATATCTAAAAGCTGAGAGAAAATTCTAATATTCCTGTCTCTCTGGATCATTCAAAATATAGAAACAGACTAAGGAGAAAGAAAATTGAAGAGATAGAGATGTGGGTTAGGAAGGAATCAAATAAAGAGAGAGGCTTTTCAATACAAAGGGACTCGAAAACCCATATTATGTACTAGAAGAGACTCAAAGATGATAGCGCAGATGGACCTGCTGTTATTTTTTTTCCGGAAAACTGAAAGTATTCTTTTCTGACAATTTATCGTTTAAGCTGATGTCAACAAGCATACACGTAGAAGAAGCATGTATGAGATATAGCAATTCACCATCAATCTCAATAATACCTTCACTTTTCTTGGATAAATATACTTTTGGATGAACGGTTCGGAGAGTCACAAAGGTCAGCGGTAACGTTTATGACAGAAGTAACCATAAATGGCGATTATTGTATTTTCTGAATAATGAATAGCGAAACAATGGAAAAAATATTGCTCAATCGTATTTTCAACAAACATTCCATAAATACATACAGAATTCACATAAGGATATGGATACTGTTCATCTGAACCATTGGCAATTCATCCTAACTGCTTCGCCAGAAACTGATTATGGTGCTCTGTGAGAACTCACAGAATCAAAGCACAGAGCTCCATTTGTTTTGATGATGACGGTAGCCAGAGAAGATGACTGACCACATACGATTTGTTGCTTCTCGGCTCCCTTTTGCCTTTTCTCCAATTTTCTGTTAGCTTTGTATTTGTTGCTTTGAGAGAGTATAGTTGCTCTTCACACCCATCCGAATGCACAAAATCAAAGATGCAAAAGAAGTGCAAATGATCGAGGTGAGGCATCTTCAGTTCATCGCCTTCTTCTTCTTCTTATTGACTGCTTACACCACAATAAGACGAAGAAGAAAAATAATAGGAGAGAATCTTCGATTTCATTCATACGTGATTGACTTCTCAAGCATTTCGGATCGCATTTTGAGCCCGAAAATTACGATAAATTCTTAACAATAGCAACTTTCCAGTCACATTTAGATGACTCTTTTTTCTGTTTATTCGAAGTCTTAAGATGATTATTCCACAGTTTTCTTATAAATATGATAAACTAATAAAAATTCTCTTTCGATGGAATAACTGGCTGGTTTGATGACTCTGACGTTCATTTTCAGCTTTTAGTTCTTAGCCATTCTACTTTCATGATGAAACGAATATGAATGTCAAGAAATACTGATCAAGTTTTCATATTATAAAAGTATGAAAGAAATTTGCATTGTTAACATAGATCTTCTATCATTAACGTCTTTCAAAGTGGGTAATAAGGAAAGTTACATCATGCTCAGGTGAAAGATGTGACCTTATACAATGCAGACCTTTTTTGATCAACCAAATTGTTTTTAGATGAGAAAACAAATAATGGTATCATTGTTATATGTTTTCAAAGAGAACATACTCAACCAGTTGCATAAAAAGGAAACTCTTCCAGTATATAAAATGATAGAGAGAGAGGAAAAGGGAGTAAAGGGGGAAGAGGGTGCGAGGTATGCAAAAAATAAACTATTATGACCATATATGAGAAGAAGGTCTTCTACGAAAGCAGCAATTAGAAAATAAAAAGAGTTAATGGATATCATTTAAGCTTCAATCTATTGACCTAAGCGCTTTTCGATGATTCATACGACAATATTAAGTCGAAAAGTTTTAAAATGTCGGTTTAATACACGTTTCAGCTTATGGATTTATGTGTTAAACTGTTCTTAGAGGCAAAGAAATCTTGATTTGTATGTAATTAAAAGCAAGAATATGAGAAGAAAGTAAATCATGCTATTAAAGCTACTTTTCATAGCCATATACAGATATTTTCGTCAAAAGTTGATGAAGATGATTGTGATCTTGGCGACATTTGACGTCGTCCAAACCTTCTGACAGATGAACAACGTAAACAAAAGCTTGTGTACAATAAAGGTGCTCTATCGACTATTCTCAATGCTTCCTATTCCAATAGCCTCATATATGGGTGAGAGATTTTGTTTTCAAACCCCCCCCCTTCTCCGGTATCCAAATAATTCGAATCGATATCATTGAGATTTGAATCTGGGAATGCCATGATGAGCTGGTTGATTTGTCAGAATTGAAAAAAAAGGCGGATGAATTATCTAACCTTATTTGTGAAAGAAATTCCGATCTAGTAAAATCTTTTTGTTGTCAAATGGACGAAACAAAATATGAAATCAGCAATTGTGACTCAATAGGTTAAGATTGAGATAGATCTATAGATGAATGTAGATAGACAAAAGAAGAGTATTATAAGAAATAGAAGAGGGAGACAAGAGGAAAAAGGATGAAGGCAAAGGTTACCAACAGGAAAAAAGATGAGAGACTAGACCGAAGATATAAATCGATTGTAGAATATGGCTAATGTCAAGGCTGTAGAAAATAAAATAATAACTTCTTTTTTCTGTGGCATACCGGATTAAAACTTTCACCATAATCGTTCGTAACTTAGAAATTTCGAAAAGTAGTGAAACTAACCTTTGAAGATTGTCATATGACATAGCCCTTGGGTAAGGAAACATTGAGCCAGGTGGGACAGCAGGTTGTGGATGAACCATTGGATGCATGGGGCCAACCATCATAGGACCTCCATACGTCTGACCACGAGCGGCTAATTTCTGAATAACTTCTATAAACTTTCTTAATCGAATTAGCAACTAACCTTCACTAACTTATCATGCTTTTTCTGCATTTTTTCTAACTTTTTTAATGTTTTCGTATCCGGAATAGGAGGTGGCCCAGCCGGCATTGGCATTTGATTCAAACTAATCCTCGAACCATATAAACGACTGTTCCTATGTGGTTGATTAGCCATCGTACCACCGGGACTGGTTAAGTATCCAGAGTCATGAAGTGAAACCATAGACCGATGGAAATGAGGAACGTATGGTTCTACATAAACACCTGGAGTTCCATTCAATCCTCGTTTGCCATCAAATGGAACTATAATGGTGTTGATAAGACATCAAAGAAATCATTAAAGATTATAGTAAATAGCTTTAAATAGACAGGAAATACTTCTTTTTTTTGGTTCTTTGATAGTTTTTTTTAGTGCTGGCAAAGACAATTTGAGGTAACGCTCAAGGACATTTCAAAGAATTGAATTAAAATTTTAAATTTTTTGAACATATTTCCCAAAATATATTACCTGAATATGAAGGATGATTCCAATACGGATAACTAGGTGTGGAGGATTTGTTTCCCATGTTTAAATTTGATGTGTAAGCCAATCAAGAACTTATCATTTATGATTTCTTTCAATCTCTCTAAAATAACGAAGAATGTTGAAAGAATTGAAAGCAGTCTTATAGGACATGGACGAAATTAAGAAGAAAGGAAAAATGACTTCAAGTGATCTGGATGATATACGTACTGAATTGGTTATGAAAGTGATGTTTGCATCTTTAGAGGTTACAATAATAAAGAGATGATATATACAGAATAAAGCTTTAGATTATAAGAAAAAAAAAGAAAAATAACCTCTCAAGCATGTGTAGCACCTCAGATCAAGAAGATCACAAGGTGGTAAGGAGAGGGAGAAAAAGAGAGGAGAGAAAGGCTGTAAGGGACAACCACGACGACCACGATGACGACAGAGTGCTACTAGCTCCGCCCCCATTTTCTTCACACACATACAGACACACACAAGGCCACAACCATCATCATCATCAGTTTAGACTATCTAGCTATAAGCAACATCAACATCCGTCTGATCATTTTTGAAGTCTTATATGGTCAGTCGATTAGCGGAATGAATGATTTTTTTTAATTGGTCAGATTTTAAGAAAGAAAAAGAAGATGGAAGAGTCGTATGATGAAAATTGTGTCTTCAATTACAGTCAACCTATTTGTACTGAATGAGACGATTATGCAAATTTAGAAAGTTTTAAAATGTTAATTACATTTTCAAATATCTCATTTTACTAATTCGTGCATTAAAAATCAGAAAGAAGTCTCAAACACTTCTTTTCTCATGTCTTCTGACAGACATAGATTATTGGATTGATAGACATCTTTTTAAGACAATAATATAAGCCGAAGTAGATTTCGACTTGGACATCCCACGTCTTGTTCGTCTTGTTCGTCTCGTTCCTTTTCTGGCAACATACCTGAGTAGATGGATTAGCCGATAAAGCGTTTAACGTGGGGAGGACCGGAACACTATCCATGCAACCAGCAGCTAATATTTTTCGAAATAAGAAATCAACACAAGATTTGTACAATATACTGTAACAAAAATAAGGAATAATGGAGGGATCAGGCTTCCCGTGAAATAAGACATAGACCGCAGTATAGTGGCACTATATGTCAATAGATCGACAACGTTCCTGGTGTCAAAATATGCAAATTAAAACTTTAAGCCCCGTGGAAGTACTGTACTGGTATCACACGAACCATTTCATGTCCAGCAGACGCGGATAACGGTTGCTTCTCCATCAATTCTTTCACACATCCACCCACCGCGCTTACATCTTTTTTTCCGCTGTTTCGAAGAATGTAAAGCCAATTAAATTTGTTGCACTGTCGGCGACACCTTCGAGCTAATGACCGGTAGTATGAGACAACTATCAAAGCAACAGAGGCAGAGACTCATTCATTCAAAAATGCATTACGAACACAATAAAAGCCGGTTATAGTCCGAGGAAAGAAGAAGGTATGAATATTACAATGACGACCATGAAAGGATTTTAACACAATTGGTCTTCAATATTAGAAAGAAATAAAAAAATCATTAGCGTTAGTTGATTAACAATCAAAATCAAAGATGCGCTCCAGAAATGAAGCGGGAATGCAATCTTCTACTTTTGCAAAATAGAAGATAGAAATAGTTTTATGAGAGTTTAATGCTAGTAAGTAAGAAGATTCTGAAGAACGTATAATCCAGAATCCTATTGGGGGATACCATAGACGGTTTATGTGATACTTATTTAAGCTTCATCTGGTTTAGTTGGTAGCCGTTGCATCTCAGTTTCAGTTGCACTTTCTTCTATCTGAGCGATTGATTCTGGTAATGGCTTGCCCATTGTTTCTGGTAACAAAGTGACTGTGAGTAATCCCGCGATGATAGAAAGAGTGCCAAAAGGTACGATCATGTAAACTTTTCCATATCTTTCTACCTAAACGTAAAAAAGGTTATTGGAATGAAAAAAGATAGTTATCATACAATCCACATGGCTATAAAACTAGCAGCGATAGCACCAATCCTTGCAATAGTACTACAACATCCCATGGCTGTGTTTCTATAAGGAGAATGTACAATGTTCAAAATTTGACTCTTTGATACCTGATAATTGTCGGGAAAAGTTCAGGAGAATAAGTATATAGTGAGGCATATGTAGCGGTAATAGCTCCTTTTGAAATCATCATTTGCATGATCGCGAGGAAAGGAGTAGCTGAGAGTTGAAAAGAACGACGTATCAGAAAACACTCGAAACTTACAAATATCTCCTAGTAAGTAGTTAATTATTAAAACAGTCCCTGCAATGAAGAATCCTCCGCTCAACAAGATACGACGACCAAGTCTATCATAAATATAAACATTACAGCGATTAGGAATGCAAGTTACCTGTCAATGAGCAAATAAACAACTACCAAAGCTGGAATTTCTATTAAAGCAGAAAAGATGAAATTGATGTATATATCTCCTCCGAGCACATTAGCTTTCATAGCTAAACCATAATATACCATTGATACAACAGGCCTGCAATGAAACCACTATTTCTAAACTCTGATGATTGTAACAAACCATAAATAGAAAGCTACTATAGTTCTACGACGAAGGTTGGGATATTTGAACAAATCCATCATTCCATAATTTCCTTTAGCGGCGGCAGTATCTTCATCAAGTAACTCCCACCTGAAATAGTTTTAGTACAATCTACGAAATTTTCTTACCAGTTTTCAGGCATAGTCACTCCATTAGTTTTAGCGGCTTTTTGAAGAACCTTGTCGGCATCATCGAAACGTCTTTGAGACACTAACCATCTTGCGCTTTCTGGTACTAACCACCAATAGCTCAAAAAGAGTAAAGCAGGAGAAGCTACTAGTAGATGCAACCACCGATAGTCAGTCACATACCAAGCTTCGAAGCCTAATAGAACCTGGAACACCGTACGGTATCGGATAACAGTTTTGCTAGCCCTACTTGTCCCAATGCAAAGAAAGCTCCAGTAATAACCGAGGCTAGTTTTCTATAACGAGGCCCCACTAATTCCATGCCAATAACTACAGCAATAACAAAAATACCAGGGTGAGAGAATCCAGTTCCTGCTCTTAAAAAAAAAGAATAAAAATCTGAGGTTAATGTGAACCTGAAAACAGCATAAATCCACCAGGTAGGAGCAATAGCCACACCTAATCCACATGTGATCTGAATTACGATAGCCAGGAAGAAAACTTTTTTTCTACCAATTCTGTAACAAGTCATCAATAGATTTCAGCATATACTTCAGAGTAGTACTTATCACCAAGAACTCCGAAGATCATTGAACCTGCCATTTGTCCTACATAATAAGCTGATTGGATGAAAGCTTTGATCCATCCTTTGGAACAAACTATATCCCACTGAAACAAGGAAGTTTTCTTCAGTTTATTTACGACAGTGATTGATCAAACCCTTTCGACAGCACTATACTTGACATTGCCATGATAATACAAAAAATTATTACATTGCCCATCTGTTGTTTCGCATTGGTTATTCTCGTAAAAACACTACAAAAAGGAAAATTATATTGATGTGTCGTAAATAAGAGAGGAAAAGCTGCAAAATATAGACTTGCTTACCTCAACACCATCTTTGTATTTATCTTCAATAGATACTGGCTCATCATACTTCGTACATTTAGTAATGTTAAGAGCGTCGGTGAGGTAGCTAGATGAGCTGGTCTCGTTATCAAGAGAACATCTGGAATAGAATTAACTTTAGAACAAGTGACCGAGGTTAACGTCCTCACCTGAACGGAACTTGAACCGCAGCAAATGTCCAACTCAAAGCATGCATGGACACTATTATAGTTGGGAGACATACCAACAGAAACTGCCTTTTTTGGTATCTGATAAAAGGAATAAGTAATAAGTACATATATGGAAACTTACTTTCCCATTTCCCCAATATGGGAAAAGAGGAGTTCGTCGAACTTCATCTTCTTCTTTCCCCCTGAACTCATGGTTTTAGTGATGTGTAGAGAGTACAAACAAGTGAAAATGAATAGTTTTTTGATATCAGACAGTAGTTTACAATGAACGAAGAACATACATCATTGTTTTATATAGTTGATATTGAAAAGTTGCCAGATATTATGATGAATTGATATGGAATTAAGACAATCAATTTGGAAGAGAAGAAAAATGATTCCGGGGCAAGTTCGAAAAGATGAAGAAGGGAGACGCAGATATTAGCATCGTGCTGAACTCTCTATTCACGCTTTCATTCGTAACTCGTTCAAATTCATAAATTCTCTTGAAGTTTACTGCGAATGTTATGAAAGTTTGAGGCGGACGTTAAGAAAACACAACATACAAAGATTAAACATACAATTTTCGGAAAAAAGTCAGAGAGAAATCAAGAAATCCTTGAATTCTAAAGAAATATGATACCTAAAGAAGCTCACAACGCTCATTGCGTTAGGTCATCAGAGTCCCACGCTTTGAGTGAACCTTTGCAGTGAAGGAATGAATGTATGGGATGATCATGTATCTTCTCTCTCCGAATACAAAGAAAGAGAGAAGAACTTGAAAATTCAAAAGTAAAAACACAAAGAATGTTCATATCTTTTCTTTTTTTGGCACAATTCTGATGAGCTACGGACGAATCTGATGCCTTGGGAAGCAGCACCGAATTGATTTTCAGTTACTATGCAATAGAATAGGATTCCTAAAGATGGATCTCTGACGGATTTGCAAGAAGAAAAAAAAAGTTTAAAGAGGCAAGTGTGAGAAGTTGCTGAGGAAGATGCAGAATGAAGCGTCTTCGAAAAAAAGGGTTGAAACGGCGACAAGTGCAAGTTGGAGATGTGGGTAAGTAGGTTCTGAGAAAGTTATAAAGAAACATTCTACTTCGTCCCATGTACAGCTGATAAGACATACGAGACAATTGTTCACAAATTTAGGGTTTGACATTGGGCGATTCTCGTAGTAGAAGGGGAAAGGACAGTCTTTGTGTTTTCACCTGCCATCAGCAAACCCAGAGTATTGAATCTCAGTGAGCATAGAACGCCATGACCGCCAGGAAAATTCAAAGAATGAGGATATGTTCATGGTTTGATTTCTACGCGAGAGAAAATATCTTGTGAACGGATGAAAGCAGTTAAAATTGGTTGAGGAATGAAGAGGCGGAGGAAGTGAACAGAATTCATGAAAACAAAAAAACGATCAATGAAGTTGAAGTCAATTGCTCAAAGCGATTTTTGAAGAATATAAAGTTCCTTATTCAAATTCCACAAATAAAAACAATGAAATTATCAGAAAGATAAAAAAAATGATTGATGCTAGTGCAAATTCGTGGTGAGATAAGACCAAAGATGCAGGTAAGGGAAAGGAAAAGATATCAAATCAATGTTTAACAGATTATAAAAGTAAGTAAAGAGGTATAGTTTAAGAGGTTTATTTGTAATTATTAATGAGACCATTTGTTATTAATATATATATATATATAAACATATAATTACAAATTGGAGATTATGAATGAATTTATGAACTTAAGACTGATTTCTCATACGCGTTTTCGGCCCCAGTCTTTGGGCTGCCAACGAAGCTTTGCTGGATCAATTCTTGTTTTAACTTTTGATACAGATCTTTGATAAGCTTCTCTCAATTCTTCGGTTAAAGCTATCACATACTGTCCTTTGTAATACTTGTACAAGTTTAATTGCTGGGAAAGTAATAATAAAACCTTGAAACTGACACAAATGACTAACTTGTAAGGTTGATATCACATCCTCTTTACGGATTGACGTCAACTGTGATAAATCTAAAACAGACAAGGCATTCTCTTCCCCCACTTTTTGCTCTTCCTAAAAATGTCTTTGAACAAAGAATGATTTACAACTTTTACTTTGAATTTCATTAGCTTTTCGATTATGATTGCAGACCAGAAACTTCTATACGATAACTGAAACAGCCCAACATTAATGAAATTCCACATTCCACTTACCAATCCCAAGTCAGATAATGGTTTTTCAGGCGATCCCGTTTTTTGTTCTACCTTCGACAATTCATAACTTCAAGAAAAAGAATGAAGATAAGAAAGAAAAGACAAACCTGAATTCAATTAATAAACGTCCATATCCCTTCTTTTGATAAGGTGGTAACACTAAAATACAAGCTACGTTATACTCTTCAGCTGATTCCTTTTCCTGGAAATGGGGTTTGATGCGTCTGTTGTTTGCGATTATTACTAAACCTTAGAGAAATACCCAACAATATGAAAACCACGTTCATCTTTTTCAGCCATCACATAAAACAAAAAAGGATCCGTGTCGTAATATAAGGTTTTGTGGTCCAGAAACAGTTTGGCTAATAAGCAGAGATTTTGGGCGTAAGTCTGAAGAAAACTGTGAATGGGAATTTCATGGATGCTCACCTTGTTCTTTCTTCCATCAATTTCGAAAAAGGATAAATTAGCATTTCGATAAATTTCATTTCCCGGAGGATGTTTCAAATGGCATTTCGTCTGCAGACGTGGATAAGTTAAAGATTAAACGATGAAGTAACATACCATGTGTCGTTTGAGGCAAGTTTCACTTTTTACATATTTCAAACAAAATTCACAAATGTATATACATGATAAATGAGTTAGCTGTTGAGGATATGGAGAGAAGTACCAAGGTTGTATACGGTTCCTCAAGAGAAACAAAATCAAAAGAGCTTCTTATGAAAATCATACCTTCCTAATTCAATCATTTCTATGTTTCTTATTCGCGTTAATGCATCTTCACTGTGTCCAACCAAGGACATAGAACCTCTGAGTGATGGAGCACCAGCTAAACGAATTCTACTCTTCCATAAACTATGAAGCACAAACCTGCATTATTATTGTTATTATTACCGTTGATATTATTCAAATTGTTGGGGGTAACGATCGCACTGGTGCTATTGGTACTAGTATTTTCTGTTTCTTCTGTAGAAACTCCATTACTGATGTTCTCAGGATAAGGACGGATCCGCTTTCGCCCCGGTCCATTTTTTCGAATCACTTCTCTTTCAGGAGAACCACTAAAGCGACAGAATTTTAGGAATTTTCATATGATCACATGAAGTACTTGTCGTTAATGTAATGATGGCTATTCTTTTTGTAGGACTTTTGAGGCATTCGTAGTGTAGATAGATCTAGATGCTCTACCCCTACCCATTCATCCAATCTGAAAACATCAAAATTTGAATAGCAAGCACCTTTTTTGTCCAACCTTCTATTGCATTCAATGTAATGTACATAAAACTGCTGCCTTTCTTCATTCTTTTTGACTGAAATAATCTCCGCTTCACCTAAAATTAATTTAGTTTTGATGGAACTCAAGCTTCTGCTTACGATATTCATTCTGTGTTGTCATGCGAACCATAAGATGACAACCTTCAACAATCCGGTCAATAATACTCTGACGATCATTGTTGGAATTTTCTGGACCGGAGGACATTTCTACCATCTTAAGAAATTCGTTTATTTCAAAATTAAAAAGACTTCAACTAATACTTAGCGATCAAACACGCTTTTGCATTTACGAAAACCAACTTCGAAAGTTTATGTGTATTATCTAAATTGAATGAAACAACTATAGAAACTACGACCAAAATGCAACAAAATGAAAAGTCCAGGGTCACTAAACACGTAGTAAAGCGAGATAATAATAAGATCATGCATATATTATTAACAAATTAATAGATTGGGAAATTATGCTGAAGACTCCTTCTCCGATGAAACCTCTTTGATGACATCTTCCATCACCTCCTTGAATTTGTCCATTGCAGACATTGGAACTGTGATGGAGCTACGATAACCTGTGGTCAATTTAACCTTAAACATTGAAGATAAAATATGAACACACGAATTTTTACTACCTCAGATATGCGAACGTAAGTTCCCTTCTCGTTTTGCCCTACATCGAAGTAGAAAGTCTTGTTGTTTTCTGACTGAACTTGCTTAGCCTTAGGCAAATCCTACAACATTGGTTTCAGATGAATAACACTTATAATGAAATACCGGATTGGGAGTATCCTGAAGGAATCCAGCGGAATATTTATCAATCAACTCACTGATTGTGTCGCGAATCTCAGTCATGTTCGCAGCAGGGATGGCAACCTGAGTATCAGTCAGTCACCGACTAAGAATCATGCTGTTAAAACCTGAGAACGTCCACTACGAGGATTGTTAATTGTCTGAGCAATACGTAAGAATCGTCCACGTTGATTGACTTTAAGATCAAGATAGTAACGACGAGTATCGAATAATAACGTCTCAGACTTGAGAGTGCTTGGCTTAACATCAACAATAAAATTCAATCAAAAGACCTCAAATACCTCAGTTACTGGATCTTCTCCTTCTGGGATACTGTTGGAGAATTTGATCATTTCACCAAGCTGATCACGTAGTTGTACAGCTGCTGCCATTGAAAGCACTACACGAGACTTGTAGTGTGTTCCCATCTAAACGAATAAAATATTAACCACTTAAGAAAAAAACGCACCTCAGCGATCTTGATAAATCTTCCGCGATTGTTTTCCTTCACATCCACGTAGTATCTTTTATAACCGAAGTTCAGTTGTCTGGTTTCCAACTCATCCTCATTTCTCTTAGAGTTACGATCACCATTATCAGACATTTTGCCAACACAGAGATGTTACCACGTCCAAATTCCAAGCGAAAAGCGCTCTCCTCACAAACACAAACCCAAGCCTGTAACCTATATGTTAATTTCAACGTTTCTCAACTCTCTACTCGAAGAATACACAAATCAACTAATACGAGCATAGTTCTGAACACTAATAAAAACATAATACTAGGTCGTAACTTCAAAAAAGTATAAAGAAAACAAGATCCCCTTTAATTATTTAGGAGAGACGCACTCGCTCTACTCACGCAGCATGCGTATTTTTTGGCTGTGGTTCAGCATTTCGCGGTGGAGCACGCTTTACCCAACAACCATAAGTCAAGTTGTGAAACTTGAAAACTATGAACGTTGTGGTCATATTTTGATTAAATAAAATTTAGTGGTTCAGAGTCGAGAGAACAAACAACAGAGGAAAGTAGATACTGTAGTTTGATACAGACTATAAAGTGGACATTTTTTGAAAATCTATATTTTTTCTATTGTTTCTGCAATATTTTTCTATCAATCTTCCAGAGAAACAACCATTCTTGAAATTGAATACGACCAAGCTTAAAACAAAATAAGTTTTGCCTATAAATGGACCCTCTAGGAGTACATTAGCCTATGTGCATCTGGGACCATAGACATTACCATCATCACAATGATCATCAGAGACATCGCATCTGTATATTCGTTAGTTAATATGCCAGAGGGTATTGCAATAGACTCGATTTGGTAGTTGAAGGAGGGCAGCTGGTGCTAGAAGGAGTGAGATAGTTAGTGCATTTGTGCTCGCTTTCACTCATTCTTGTCTCCTTCGTTGGATTTCGTTGACGAAGTCTGAAGGCTGCATCACATCTGCACCCAGATGGCAAGAAGCACATATTGCACAACCAAATGCTCTTTTATTCATATAAGAGTAAGAAGTGTGGATGGGTGATGGCTAATTTGTTGAACATCAACCTCTTCTTATTTCCCTTTCTTTATATCATCATGACTTATTTGAAAAGTGAGAGCAATATGTCTCGAGCCCATATGTAGGATTAAGGTCGAAAAAAACAACAAAGTGAATGCCCTCTGTTACCTCTGTAACAGACATCTGTTAAGTCATCGACACCTTACATGGATGTGAACAGATGTTTATATATTTTGTAAAAGAACATAAAATATGAAATCACTGTGAAATAGTAAGAAAACGGAAATAGTGAAATGAATCAAAAGTAGTGAAGCTCCTATTGTGCTGATGCGCGAAAGCAAGAATGATTCTCAGCTCCTGATTTTATTTTCAGTCAGAAAGCTTGAAAAACCAAAATTGTTATCTTTCCTCGTGCTGAGAGTTATAATTGAAATGCGTTCAAAACAAAAAATCTTGACAAAAACTGATTTTTTGTCTGTTATATTTCATAGAAATATCGTAATAAAACCGAAAAAATGATGGACACAAGGAAAAGATAAAGGAGCAAAGTACGTTTGGGCTGTTATGGTACGAGTTGTTCTACAACAAACAAGAACCGATTGCTGATGAAAGTATGTTTTTTCTCGAGTTTATCATGGTATTGTTTAGATGGGTTTATTGTAGAAGAATTGAGGATAAGAATTGAGAATTATACTTTGACGGTTAAAACTCTTCTGCTCCTCTCTTCATAATTGTCAAAGTTCTCATGCTATACTCTCTTAAATCATAGTTGTGTTTGAAAATAATTTTTATGAGATAGAAGAAAGTATGACGAATGTAGGTTCCCATAGTCGGGCATTCCTTTTACACGAACAAAACGGTGAGAAGGCCACATTTCTGACAGCTGCGAAGAATTATATTCGTAGAAGAATATTCTCTTATGCTTTCTCTACGTGACATTAATATGTGTAGAACACGGTAAGATATTACTCAAAGCCTTGGTAATAAAAACTATGCATAGAGGTAAAAAGAGAAAACGGGCGAAGATAAGTCGAGTACTAAGTAAACGGCGAGATACAACACAGATTGCGATGAAGCGAAACCAACAACCCTATACCAGATAGATTTTTCACATGTTCGAATATGAATTATAAAGCAATGAAGAGAGAGAGAGAGCTCTTTGATCGAATCATTCATATATTTGGTTGCAGGGATAAAATAACAAACACATGAACAGGTAGTGCGCTACTTCCTTTTTTTAACAAGCGGATATTGATGTAAGAAAATTTGTTCCGGTTGCAGCATAATCTCCAAGAACTTATAGTTAATTTATGGTAATGAAGACGACCGTCAACATAATGTTCCCTTTTACGTGTTATTCTCAGCTGGTGCAGCTGTTCAGTAAAAGAGCGGCAAAATAGGCCTTTTATGATGATTCGCAGGACTTTATTTGAACATTGCTGGATAGGAAATGCACAATAAAATGACAGTTTATTGACAGTTTAGCTGGCAGGTGTGGCAATAGAATGTAAATTTTTGTGCAGAAAATTTAAAAAAAAAGGTATTCGGTAAGTGCAGTTCAAGATTTGTCAGAACTCCGTGCTTCTCATATAAATTTCGTCCTCTGTGAGTTTTGTATTGGAACCACACTACCTGTTATCAACGACCGCCAACAAATGAAGTTATGAGTAAATGATTTCACGCCAAAAACATGCTTTATCACTTCATGCACGACCGCTGACTGACGAAATAGAATGGAATGAAGTTGGTTGGCATGTTTTCTAACTGGGAACCCATCACGCCAACGATGATAGTAGAACACTATAGCCATGTCCGTACAGATTTTGTGGTTTTCAGATAATAGTACGGCAGCTTCAACCTGGTAGCAGTTTAAGTATCGTCTCTACATGATAGGAACTTTGAAAGATTAGGTGCTGTTGTTCGTTCATTACCAATGAGACTATGTTGGACCTGCTTTAACTCTTGGAAAAAATGGAGGTTCGATTCTTCCAGCAACAGCTATTTGTGACAAGAATAGATGAGAGTCGGTATTCTGACTACTGTTCTTCAGTCTGTTCGTGTCGCTTGTAGCTTCTTCTTACATAAGCCGCTCAACAAATCCATCATCTGTCCATCAAAAATGTAACCATGTATTAGCTGTTCTGAGAAATAATTCAACAGGCTGCGCAGCCGATTTCCGCTTTTAAAAGTTGATTCCCGTGACGGTACTGTTCGGATGCCAGTCTAGGTTATGTGATTTCAAGATCCAGTGTTCTCTCAATAGTGTTCAGTGGTTTTCCTTTTTTTCATCTTTTTTCCCATTTGCATACAGAAATGAGTAAAACCTTATTGACCAGGTTTGATTCAAAAATGAAAAGAAATGAGGAGAATAACAGAAGCTGGACATCTGCCTAGTACGTCTGCCATCCGGCTGTTCCTTGTCGACTAGCCGTTAAATCATCTGTCTCTCTTACAACCTTATGCTTTAAGCTGCAAAAGAGCAACAAAATACGAGTTAATATAAGATCGGTGAGTTATATTAAGGTGTCAGCTCATTAAGTGTTAGAATATATGGCAAAACAGCTAAAACTGAATAAAATCGTATTTTACACCAGACTATATACATATGACTTAACTCTAGCGAGAGCATGTCCAACCAATTCCATTGGTCTAACATGCGATGCCACATATCTAAAAGTTCAATAATAACTTGATATGTTGTATTACTTGCAAATAATTTCTAAAATATGATAAATGAGTGAAAAGATGTGATAGTTATGAAGCCAAGAAGCAGTATAGAAGAGGAACAAATAATGAAACTTATGTATGTGCATCTGATGAGTTGAAAGCCTGAACTGCCTCGGCTTCTGTACTTCATTAGGCTATATCTCTAGGATCCTGTTGATCACTAACGCTATTCCGTGATTTGCATTTTGCTGATTGA